CATATGAAAAAGAGAAGTAGGCATTTAATTAAGAGATAGAGGGAGTACGTATTTAGCTATGGTACGTCTATGTGTTGTTAAAGCGAGATAGCTTCTTCTTACTTTTTCACTTTTTATTTGTGTTCACAAAGTATTTGGAGCGGCAAGTGTTTCGTCAGTCGAGAAGTACCATTGTCATCCTCTTGCAACGATGAAAAACAAGTTTCCACCCAATGAGAAGTTGGTGGTGGTTACGGCGAAGGAGAGGAGCGAGGTCATCCATGGCGAAAGAGAGAGAAAATTTAATTGCTAAAAATTAAGGATTTTTTGACTTTTACTACAAAAAAAAAAAAAAAAAAAAAAACATTAAATTGTTTTTTACTACCAAAAATTTTAAAAGTTGTATTTTACCACCAAAAAAATTTCTAAAAATTGTTTTTTACCAACTACCGTCAAGAAAACCGTTAAATTTAATGGTTAAAAAAAAACTCTTCAATTTTCGTGCGCAAAACATGTTGTTCATAGGTTAAGTGGGGCATTTTGGCCCTATGGATCCAATTTGAAGTCGTAATTGACAAAAAATGATTGATAATGCCTCGTTTTGCGTGTTTAATGCAAACCAAGGTATTTTTAAACACGCAAAAGAAAGCATTTCCTATCATTTTTTGTTGATTCTGGCCTCAAATTGGTCCCATAGCCCCAAAATGCTCCCAAAACCCCTAAATATATTGTGTTTGGCACAAAAATCAAAGAATTTAAAATATTCCATTAGGTTTTTGACGACAGGTGGTAAAAAATAAATTTTTTTTTATGGTAAAATAAAACTTTTAAAATTTTTGGTAATAAAAAACAATTTCGCGATTTTTTGGGTGGTAAAAGTCAATATGTGTAGTATTTAGATTTGTAGTAGTATTTAGAAATGGTTAACTATGTGTTTAAAAAATAAATCTAATCTAATATATATAAATAAAGTAGGCATTTTTGGAGAGCATTGGGAGCGCCACATAAGAAAAGGTATATTTTCGACCAATTAAAAATTAGATTTCTATTTTATTTTAGAATTAAAAAAATCACTCGCCACCTAAACAAAAGTGACGAATGAATTTTAAATTTTTGCCACGTAGGTAAAAATTACGAATAATAATTTATTAGGATTTTAATTATTTAAGAGCACCAAATTTTATCATTTTTATTTGTTACAAAACTAAAAATTATCTTTAGATATTAGGATTTATATTATTTAAAAAACTAAAAATTATATTTTGATGCTTAAAAAATATAAATTATCATTTGATATTAATGGTTTTATGTAAAATCTGATGATTTTAAAACTTATAATACAAGAAAAAAATTAAGAGATCACCAAAAAAATATTTATATATAAAATGTATATAAAAATTCGTGCATCGCACGCCACATAAGCAAAAGTAATATTTCGACCAATGAAAAATTAGATTTATATATTAATTTAGAATTTTAATTTTCAGTCACCATTTAAAAAAAAAATTAACAAATGAAATTTGAGAATTGAAAATAAAAAATAGTAATTTAAGATTTAAATTATGAAAAAAAAACAAAAATTATCTTTTATATTATCTTTTACATTAGGATTTATATTATTTTAACAAATAATTAGAAATTAAAAAAATATATTTTGATTTAATGATTTTATCAAACTATCCGATGAATGAGATAATATTTATTTCAATTTATAAATTCAAGTTCTATATACGTAAAATTTGAATAAGAATAATTTAAAACTTAACAAAATATTTTACCTTAAATTAATGCTAAAATAATAGAATAGAAAATAAATTCATGCATCGCACAGGCTTACATCTAGTGTTAACTATTACATTACGCACGTTAGCCCCTAATTAACACTTGGAAAAATTTTGTATACACCCGATTTACACTAATATTAGTGTACATCGAGCAGTATAAGGGTAACTTTTAGCTAATTTTAGGGTGACTTTTTGCCTTTTTTTGGGTAACTTTAAACATAATACAATTTTTATATAAATAGACAACAAGAAATTTTTTATAAAGGCAACTTAATTACAATCAATCACTAATAATTGATTTTTAGTCATTTAGGATGTGATAATTTCTAATAAAGCGTAGATAATTTCTATAAAGGCAACTTAATTACAATCAATTACTAATAAAGCGTAGATAATTTCTATTTTTATTGGTTACTTTTATGCATATTGAGGTAACCTTTATTCCATCCGTTTTTAAATACTTACTTCATTTCCTTATTTGGAAAGTTTTTACTATACACCGTATTTAATCTAATTCTCTTAACTAGTGGACCCAATATAGATCATATATTATTAATTTTATATTCTCTCAACTTCTTTTACTTTTTATATTTTTTAAAATTGTTCTACCTACCCCACAACCTCCTTATTTGAGATATTGTTATACTCCCTCGGTTTCTTTTTACTCGCAACAAAGAGGGGAAGAACGGACTCATAGGCAAAATATTGAAACCATGATTAATGAAATATAAGGGCATACACTTAAGTGTGTTAATCCTACTTTAAATTTTTTTTAAAAATAAAAAAATAAAGTTGAAATCCCAGAAACTGGAATTCACGAAACACCACCACCACCTGTCCACCTATCACCACCACCAGCAAAGACCGAACCCACTACAACTTACCACCACCCACAACCCACTACAATCCACCACCACCCACAACCCTAAACACTGATCCCACTACAACCCACCCCCAAACACTGAACCAACTAAAACCCACCATCACCCACAACCCCAAAACCCACGAACCCAGAACAACCAAAATCCGCCACCACCCAGAACTCAGAACCCTAGATCCTCAATTTAACATAGAATTCGCCCCTTTTGCATAAAATCCGCCACAACGCAGAACCCAAAATTCGCCACCACCCACGAATCTACAACACATCACCACCCACGAACTCAGATTACGAACCCTAAAACCCACGAACTCAGATTTCTAACCCCAAAACCCACAACCCAAATTTCGAGCCTATAACCCCACTCACAAACTCAGATTTCGAACGCACCACCACCCACGAACCCAGATTTCGAACCTAAAACCCACAAACCAGATTTTGAATCCAAAACCAACAAGCGATGAGACATCCGACATCGGCGTGACTTCCGGCGAGGTGTTGCGGTCGAATTGAGGGGAGATCGGTGAAGAAAGAGAGAGAAATTCTGGGTACGGTGGTGGTGAAGTAGTGGTGGTGGTTGGGGAAATAAAAGTGATGATAATTTAATTGGGAGGGGAATGTTTTTGGTGGAAATGATTAAGTTAATCAATGTAGAGTTTAAGTTAATATAATAAAATCAGAAGTTTAATTAGGGTGTTTAAAAACAAAAGTAAGGGTAATTTTGTAAAGTCACACAAAAAAGTTACTACAAAAGGAAAGAAAATATTTTGTTGCAAGTAATGTGTAACGATCATTTATAGTATTTGTTGCGAGTAAAAAGAAACGAAGGGAGTATACATTCAGGAAGTATAGTATACCCAACTAAACCCAGGGTTAGTTTTTGTTCTTAATTTAATGATAGAATGAAAAACAAACATCAAAATGAGAGCAAATAGTCATGGGTGTACGGTACAATCGGGTGTATAGAACAATATCTACATATTTTATTACTTTCTCCAATTTCTCCTAAACTTCGCAAATGAAAAAATGGAGCAAGCATTTTAAAACGGAGGGAGTATTTATTTTAGGAATAACTTTTAATCACTTTAGAGTTTAGATTATCTTTATAATGAACTAGTTTAGTGCCCCGTGCAATGCCCGGGTTGTTTATTGAATTTTAGAATAAATTTTTAATCTTTATAAGATTTGCTAGATTGTGAAGTATATTATTTTAACCGATTAGTATAGATTATGCTTTTAACTCTTTCTTTGTCCAAAAAAATATTATGATATAAAAAATAATTTATTTGATAATTTTTGAGAATTATAATCTAATATTTTTGTTAATAGAATTATAATTGAATTTGTACATTTGAAATATTGGTATTTTATCAAAAATAAAACTAATATTATCCTAAAATTCTATCCAAATAGAATTCTAAATTAACTTTTTATTTTATTTTATTTTATGAGGTATATTTAAATCTATCCAACGTGGCGCGACACTTGGCGAAAAATTAGAACACCAAGTGTCGCTGTCTCGTGACCTGGTTAAAAGTTTAGATTTATATATTAGTTACTAGTTTTGTGCCCGTGCGGTTATTGAATTTTAAGATATATTTTTAATCTGTATGTCAAATTTTAAAACATATCATTTATACAAAATTAGTTAGGAATTGATATGTTTTTGTGACGATTTAAACTTGTAGACATGTAATGACTAATAATAATAATATTGGTGAAAAATATTTCTTGACCCATAACCTGAAATAATGACCCTGTCTGAATTGACTGGTGACCCGACCTGATTGACAGGTCTACACATAGTAATAAAATTATATAAGATTGTGAAGTATATTATTTTAATTGATTAGGATATATTATAAACAATGGATGTGGTACATTTTGAACTAATTTCTTCTCTCCAGAAAAATATTATGATACAAAAAATAAATTTATATGATAATTTATGAGAGTTATAATCTAATTATTTTTTGAATAAAACTATAATTCAATTTGTGTATATGAAATATTGGTATTATATCAAAAATAAAACTCTAAATTAACAATTTTATTCTAAAATTTTATTCAAATTTAATTGAAAGTAAAATTCTAAACTAACTTATTTATCCTACAAATTGAATTCTATATAGCTCTATCCTACGTGGCACGATACTTGGCGAAAAGTTGGAACGCCAAGTGTCGCTGTCTTGTCACCTGACTAAAAGTTTAGCTTTATATGTTAGTTATATAATTTTTTTTATCCTACAAATTGAATTCTATATAACTCTATCCTACATGGCGCGACACTCGGCGAAAAATTGAAACGCCAAGTGTTGCTATCTCGTCGCTTGGCTAAAAGTTTAGCTTTATATATTAGTTATATGATATGAAGTACAATAATTATTGTAGAGCTGATTCTTTTATAAGTTTGTGTAAAGACTTTAAGAAAATAGTCAAATACAGTAAAAAAAAATAAAATAAAAAATGACAAAGCAAATAACCATAATTGGAAGCATCAGCGTCAAGTGTGACTCGATAAAAATAAACATTTGTCTCGAACCTCAAACAATGTTCTCCCTTTTTCTTCCTCTTTTTATTTATTTAATTCATTAATAACAATTCTTTCTGTTTTTTCTCCTCCTTTTCGCTCGCATCGTTTCTATTTAAACACACCTTCACTCACTCAAAACACTCTCTCTCTTTCTCTCTCCTCCTTCCTTTTATCTCTCTCTTCAACCTCCATTTTCTTCTTCAATTCTCAACATACGTTCGCCATTTTTCTTCCTCCTTTTTCAAACTTAGGGTTTCATTTCTGCAGATTGACATTGTTCATACACAATTTCACCGATTATTCATGTTTTCGCAATTTAATTGCGAATTAATTTGCTATTAATTTATTGATTGATTGATTGGTAGAAATGACATTCCAGTAATTCAGAAAAGAGTGATTTTAATCAAAGAGAGAAAAAATCGACATTAATGGCGGCAAGTTCCGCCGGCGGATTTACGACGCCATTTTTAAGCATTAAGCTCCGTAATCTTCACGGCGACGCTGTTTCATTCCTTCGACTCCATTGTCAAAGCTTCGACATCTCCGCCTCCTCTACTTCCGCCGGAATTAAGCATCGCCGGAGATTTTTCTCCGGTGTCGGCGACGGCGGAGATGTTGACATAAGAGGAGAGAGAATTCGACGAATTGACTGTTGCTGCTCTTCAGACGCAGTAGTTTCGAAGAAAAGACATGGTGAAAAACGCGAAGAATGGCGTCGCTTTGATCCGAAGAAGAGTTCAACGAATCGTAGGGTTCGTAGGCAAGCTTTGCCTTCGTTGCCTTTCGCTTCTCCTCCGTACGTCTCCTTAATTTTCTCCTCGCATTTTATTTTTCTTGTAATTGTTGTTATTATTATTTATTTTTTATAATTAATATATGCATTTTTTTAATTCTTATGATATTCGCCTTTTGTGTTTTGCTGGAATTTTAAAGTATGGAATGTACTATATCCTTTTATTGTTTTCGGTTGTATCGTTTGATAGTGACTTTTGGTCTGTTGGATTTTCCTTCGTTTTCGCTGAATTGTGAATTCTTAGATACAGTAGCGGAATTTATATATTTATTTATTTATTTCTGGTTAAGTGTTTGATTTTGATTCAGATTTATGAATTATTTTGGCTGAGTTGATTTATTATTCTCTTGCTGTGTATTTCAATGTAATTTGAGTATGAGAAATGAGTACATTCTTGCTTGAATTGATGATCTGCCAAACTGTTATTGCTTGCTCATGTAAAATGCGAATCAAATAGGATAATGCTGGTATTTAGAGTTTCGAGGACGTCTTTGTCTTACTATCGAAGGTTATCTGTCTGAACTTTGTTAATTCTACATTTCTGCAGTCAAGTAGTTGGTCAGCTGTTTGATGTTGTTAATTCAACAGTCTGAGGAGACTGTCAGTTTTAAATTATTGAGTAATGAGTGCTCTAAAGAGTGGTAGTTGGTAACTAAACGCTGGAGAAATTTCAATAATTGACTGGCGAAGTTAAAAGCCGTTGTATAGCAAAATTAATTAGAAGACTTGGCTCCGCTCATTTTGAAGCGAGTTGAGTAGCATGTAAAAAAAATTATCAATAATTTGAGGATGGATTATTGACTGTAGTCTTTTGTGAATTGGAATGAGATTAGTTTGGGAATACATAATCAAATAGGATTGTACTTGTGAATTTTATAGGAAAGGTGACAGTCACTTTCATTTGTTGAGTAATGAGTGTTCAGCAGACTGGTAATTGGTAGTTACAGCTTGAGATTTTCATATTTTGTTGATTGATGAGTGTTGATGGTGTCTTAAAAATCTAACTTAAAGCTGCTTCTATTGTCTCATAATGTTTTTGAATTGAGCAGTATACGATTAATAAAAAAATGAATAAAAAGAAAATGTGAGAGGATAGAATAGTTAGTTGTGGTCTTATGGCTCAAATCAGAATGAGATTTTATGGTTTGTGAGTGTTGAAATCAATGACTTTGAGAAGTATTGATTGTTTGGACAAAAATATACTAAGGTCAGCATTTAGTGTGTATCATGAGGCTCTTGCCTATGCTAAGGACTGCAGAGGTGCAGAGTGCAGATTAGAAGTCCTTAGATGTCCATTTTACAATATATCACTAAAGTCTCTTTGAAGAAGAAAGTCAAGATACAAGAGCACATTTTAGAGTATTAGTTCATGATAATTAAAAATAAAATGTTGATAATTGGCAATCATTTGTTAGGTCCAACTATGAAAGGGAGTCATCATTTTACCTGTTGCATATGAGGGACACTCTTCTGTATGATTGTTGCGTTTTTGGTGCATGTGCAGGTGTGTAAGTCTCATCAGTTCAGCAATCTGAATCTGTTAAGTTTGTGTGTTATAAATTGTTTATTAAAAATGTCGCGTTCCTTTTTGCTGTTTTTTTAAAGCGGAAGTTCTCATAAAGTTGTGTTCATATATTTACAATAGTATTCTGAATCTTTTTAGTTTGAGGGAAATGAGTTGACCTGAAATTTATTGTATAGTATCAGCACTACTCATTAGTCAATATATGTGACAGTTGTGCTATATGAATAGATCTATTGTATAAATTGTTTAAGGTTCAGGATAACCAGGAATGTTGATAATATATTTCCAATTACTGAGAGCATTATTGTGTTTATTGTGACAAAGGAAGAAGGAGAAGATAAATGATTGTACAAAGATTCAGTTAATGATGGAGTAGAAATAATAAATTATAAACTATAAAATGTAACAAACTAATACAATTGTCCCACTCAGCTCCTAATAGGCTTTTCTTTTATTGCAGAGTCCGCTTTCATTCTAAACCTCGTTGTAGTCCGCGTAACTCTGGTCCACAATCACGTGACACACCGCCCAAGAGAGGTATCTGGATTTGTTTATTTATGGTTTAAAACTATTTTATGTAGAATGGGAAGGGGGCTAATAGTTGTGGATTGTATAATTGTGCATGCAAAATCCATCATTGATCTCAACATGTTTTTGTGGTTTTTCTTCATCATAGACACTGGCATTGCAAATGAGAAAGATTGGGGCATAAACTTGGTAAATGAAAATGTGAATGAAACCGGTATCAATGAAGATGGCAGTACCTGGTATCGTGAAAGTGGGGAAGAGCTTGGGGAAAATGGGTACAGATGCCGATGGACAAGAATGGGTGGTCAGTCCCAAGATGCTTCCTCTGAATGGAAAGAAACGGTATAATGTGCTTTTTATCTTATCCAGGAGGCATATTACTTTCCAAGTTAACTTGATGGTTCATAGCTTTGATGCCAATAAGATTATTGCTATTTTTCTTTCATTGTCTCCTACATGGATGATTTAATGGATTTGTTGATTTTATTGACAGTGGTGGGAGAAAAGTGACTGGACTGGATACAAAGAGTTAGGTACACATATTTTACCCTTTTTTCATAACAAATTCTTTGGCTGTTAGTTGTGTACCTGTAGGTCAACTTACCTGTAGTAGAGTGAATATATGCTGTATGCATCTTAACTAGATTAAGGGGGTTGGTGAAGAACAAACATCTTTTTGTATGAGTTCATTTCATTATTCAAGTTTTTATGTAGTCAGATAATTATATGTTATATAGTTCCCATCTCAGAGAGCTGAATAAATGTAGCTTTGCCTCCATAGTAAAATTTTGTGACATTGTCAATATTTATATGCGGCAGGGTTCATATATTATTGAAATCACTTATAATTCTTTGGAAGCAGGTGACATTTGACAATACTCAATTTAACGTAAACTAAGCATTGAGTGTGTAACTATTGCCTACAATATAAAAGTACTAGTACCATGTACCAAAAGTCCAAAACCTAATGAAGACTGTGAGTAAGTTCTGATGTTGGTTGGCTCCATGTTGGTTGAAACATTTTCACCTTTACTAGTCCTATTTTGGTTCCCCCCCTCTTAGAAAAAATGACTTTCAACCCAAGTCATGTTTACTGTGGGTAAAACTGTTAAAATTTTCTAATTTTATCTTGAAATATGACTTCTTGTCTTCTTTTGTTTCCATATGATAGCATATAGAATATTTATTAATTTACGGAAAAAGTCTAATCGTGTATGTTATGCTTATGATTAGTTTCACCTCCATTAGATTGAGATAGTAAATTGGTCTTTAGCCATTAGCCTATCCCAGCTCCCTTTTTGTGTGTACGGTTTCACCGTTAAAATAATGTTATAAAAATTTATGTGTGGAAGAAGGTTTTGTTTATAGTATATAGGTCTTTTTGACTAGTGTCTTAGTCTTTGATGGTTAAACCTTTTGTCTGAGCTTCTCATCTTGGCAAATATAACAGGTGTTGAGAAATCTGGAAGAAATGCTGAGGGAGATTCATGGTGGGAAACATGGCAAGAAATGCTGCACCAAGATGAGTGGAGGTAGGAAATTTCTGCTCTTATGCCTTTAGAATTGAAGCTTGCTTCTAGCACATCTTAAATTTGACCATTTCCAATGTCATTCTGGAGTTCATAGAGAATAATGCTTCCCTTCTTTTGGCAGTAATATAGCTAGGATAGAGAGAAGTGCCCAGAAACAGGCTAAATCTGGCTCTGAAAATGCTGGATGGTATGAAAAATGGTAAGTATCCAAGAACTATATAATCTTTGATTATTCATGGTTATGACAAACATGCTTCTTATTTATTAATTGCCTTCAGGTGGGAGAAATATGATGCTAAAGGTTGGACAGAAAAGGGGGCACACAAGTATGGCAGGCTGAATGAACAGTCATGGTGGGAAAAGTGGGGAGAGCATTACGATGGGAGAGGATCCGTCTTAAAATGGTTACAGCCAATCTTTGCTAAAATTGTGTTTGTGTTTGTGCTTTTTTTGTGGCTAAAGGATAAAATGTTTCTCATGAAATAAAACAAAAGATACGACATTATCAAATTCTGTTCTTTTGGAGAAAATCTTTTGCACTCTTTCCATGATAGTCAACTAACCTTAAAGTGTTTAAGCTATTATGTTTGCGTGTTGTTATAATAAAGAATTTGATAATGGGATTTGTTAGGTAGGTGTTGCACAACCCTAGAACAGTGTGTTAAGAACAAAAATTTGCTTAATATGCCATTTCTGATTTGATTCTCACTACTTGGTCATTGGAAGTGATAAACTTTGCTTCTAGTATTGCTATGCTGTAATTTTATTCTTGCAGGAAAACTGATGATTACAGCATTGATGTACTTCTACTATTTCGTAGACTATAGAACAATATCTTATGAGATCTTTTGTCAAAAATTGCATGTTTCATGTGTAACGTATCTGTGTTAATACTTCCCTCAGGTATGAAGTGTGGATTAATTAATGTTTTTTTTTTCTTTTCCAGGACAGATAAGTGGGCTGAGACTGAACTTGGAACTAAATGGGGAGACAAGTGGGAAGAGAAGTTTTTCTCTGGCATTGGTTCACGCCAAGGAGAAACTTGGCATGTATCTCCCAGTGATGAACGTATGTGATGCTATTTTTCTGACATTCATGATTTCAGTTTTTCAGACTGCAGATTGCCTGTATACATATTGACTACCTTAAGTCATTACACTTTGACAATTTCCTGCCTTTTTCACTTTGTTACTCCAACAAGAGAAGAAACATAAATACTGAGGGATAGCTGGGATGTGATTAAAATGTTTAGTTTTCCCGCCTTCCTGGTACTCGAATGTCTTCTTAGTTGTTAACAAATGCCTAGAGATTACATGTCAGAGATTTAGAGTACCAGTGATGATTTAAGGCTCTCTGCGTATGTGCTCCTATCCTAGTAAGCATGAAACTTCTGGAGCTTGAGATTTCCTCGTGTTTGTGCTAACAAAGCCCAAAAAGGCAGAAATGGCATGGGACTTGAAGTTCTGTTTCCAAAACCTGAGTCAATTCCGTGCTACATAGCTCCTATCTACTAGCCCATATATGCAAGCCTTTTTCCTGGGCCTGCACTACTAGATTTCTACTGACACATACTATGATATTATAGAGCAAAGATAATGACATTCTTAGTTTTTTAATTTCACCTATGATACTAATGATTTAAGGAAACCATTACTAGCAGTTAACAATCTGACTGAACTGATTTATCTGTTGCTATGTTGTTAATAATGATTGATTCTTGTTCATCAATTTTTCATCCTGTACAAAAATCTAATATAGGAATCTTATTTGTCCGATGAAACTTGCTTATATGTTTTTAACGATGTTCTTGTGAAACTGAAATGTTGATTTGTTTTGATGTGCAGGGTGGTCTAGGACATGGGGAGAAGAGCATTTTGGAAATGGGTATGCAGTTATTTTTGTTTGCTTAAAACTTTTGGGAGGCAATTATAATTATAACCTTAGATTTTACAAAGTAGGACATAATATATTGATTATTCATTTCCTTTTGCCAGCAAAGTACACAAGTATGGCAAAAGCACAACCGGAGAAAGTTGGGATATAGTGGTGGATGAAGGAACATATTACGAGTAAGACAAAGCCTTTATTTTCACATTTTCAATTGAAAATTCCTTTCAAACGTAATAGTTCTGATCTCTTTTATTTCTAAGTTTGGGGACTAAAATCCATTGTTTGATGATTTGTGTATAAAAGGGCTGAACCGCATTATGGATGGGCGGATGTTGTGGGTGATTCAACACAGCTGCTTTCAATCCAACCACGAGATATACCTCCAGGTGTCTATCCAAGTCCTGCACCGCCACCACCTATTGACGATGATACAGATTTGTCACCTCCGTCATGACGAAGGAAAACAATTTTCCTAGTTAGTTTTGATTCCATTCTAGTTAGTCTGATTCGTGAAATTCATTTGTCATGGTAGAAATTGAAGGTGTAACAGAATCGCATGTTATTCTTCCATGATTGATTTATTTTTGTCTGCGTATTTTACTTGGTTAATAATAATGGAAGTTATGGAATGACTACTTATATTCAGGTGAAGAACTCTACGTCTGTGAGACCCAATTGTTTGATAGGGATAACTAAATTTGCATCTTTCAAAGGTAGCAGTTTTCCTTCCCCTGCCAAGATATGTAGAGGTAATAATTTTTATAGTCGAGCATTGGAAAAAAAAATCGGATGCAGAAAAATGGTTGCAGGAGACATCAGATATGATCAGCAATTACTACCAATTAATTTGATACACTAACTAAGCTAAATCTACTATATATATGGCAATATTATCAGGAAGAGGTGAATAAGTTGGAAAATATTAAACTACAAAATAAACTATCTAATCTGTAAAAGCGGCAAACTTGTATTAAGCATGTCATTTGTACCCCAACAGAAAGGGTAGTCTGAAATCGTACCAGTGGCACTTCTCCAAGTTGGTATAAAGATCTCTGCATCCGACCAATTGTAGCAATGTACACAGATTCAAAGTTGCATAATCTTTCAATGAACGCTTAGAAGTCGTGAGCCTCATTGTGTCTGCTTAACTTTGTACAGATTCTCATATGTAGGCAGGACCTCACAATTTCAGCTCCCAGCTTACTCCAGAATCCGTGTTATCCCAGAGAAAAAGACAAAATATCTCTCTTAAGGGCAAAATTGTCTAGTCTGATAATATATCTTCTAATTCAGGTTCATCGGTCAAAAATCCTTCATAATCTAGCATGGTCTCATTTGCTGGCTGTCTCTCTTGAAGCAGCAAATCTCCATCAGTGTCTGGGTCTGTTGGTTCCGACTCATCATCAGCTTCATGATCCTTGGTCTCTTCTTCTTTCTTGGTGGGATCCTTCCCTGACCCAAATTTCCGTAGATTTGCATCTCTCATAGCCTTGGCATCAGAATCTTCACAGATGCATGAAGCTGGATTCTCATGAAACTCACCTCTGCCAGGTCTTACCTCATGTGGCAAACCCATGAATCCTCTCTGATAAGAACGAGCCTTTAAAGAAAACTCTTCCCAAGTCATGTTACCTTTGTTCAGGAAAAGCTTAGATAGCTTTTTAGCATTGGGGCGAATAGTGGGCTTATGACCAAAATACCTCCTAAAAAAAAGTGATAGCAAATTTAGTTAGCACCTATATTCAATATCTGAATTTCTTGCAACAATTGACACCAAAATATAGGGAATCACCTTCGTCCTGCCAGAATCTTTGCCATATTTCCATTGTTGTTAGTGACAAAGACATCACTTTCATCACAAACAATAAAGTCAAGTGCTGCCATGCGAGAAGAAAACCTGGAAAATGATTCTAGCTCCTCTTTGCTGGCTATCGTTTCTTTGGAATGGAAATTGGGGAAGAGCAACTTTAGTGGAGCTAAGGTTTCTTCTCCTCTATACACGTCACCAGATGCCACATAAATATGAACGTCTTTGCTATAACCTAAAGCCCTCAGCATCAACCCCACTTCTTCTGGAGTGAGTGGGCATCTTCCCTGCCTCCTTGCCTTGTCTGGATTGCTTCCCTGCATAGCAATGGGCAGTCAGCTCTTACAGTACTTTTGTTTGTATACTTTACATTTGAACTATGCCAAACAATAGGTAGCTAAAGAGCTATAATCATATCAAGGGGAATTCATAATAAAGGTTGAAAACCAAAGCAAGTTGGGTACTATCTTCTGACAATTAATTTTGTAAAAAATCAAACATACCCGGCTAAAAAAATCAATGTTGTCAACATTCAAGCCACGAAAAGACCAAAATTCTTACATGCAGAGTTTTCCACCTCTTTCTTATAGCACCCAGTTCTTTTTTTTCCTTATCCCCTCCACCATAATAGCATCCTGAGAATGCAAGCATATCAGGTTCAAACCTGCAGTAACAAATAAGATGGATCAAATTATCAACCAAATTTTCACAAATGAAATCATCCAACTGTCTCATAAGCACTATCATCATTCAATTTTATAAAAAAAAATGTTACCAGGAGACATTCAACAAGTTATTATCTGATCAAGTGCATCAGATATAATAATTAGTAAACGAGTTTAACGGCCCGAATGACTATTAAAGATTGTCTCTCAAAAGTCAAAACATTTATATAAGAAGCAGATTGCCTGACAGAGCCAATAAGTATCCCATGTTTGGTCTTTGTCGCATGGGCCTCACCTCCTCAAGAGACATACATTATTCAGGATGCAAAAAATGATTGACATGCATATACATCATTTTTTTTTTGACAACACTAAACTGCTTTCCATTCTCTTTAGAAAGGTAAGACAGGGTTATTGATTCTCCTATACCAGTATACCACATAATTTGTGGGTAAGACAGCAAGTGGTAAGAAAGGTCGTTTAATTACCACTAAAATCCATTTACTCTCTCCTACCCGCAATACCACTAAGATTGACGAGTGCAATTAGAAAATCCATAGACCTCCGTGTTTAGTGGTGAAATTATAACAAATGAAATTTTGTCTTGATAATTCAAACAACTCTTTACCTTCTAATATAACAGATTCTTTTGTTTAATGAAGGATATCAGTGATATGTTTTTTGTCTGAACCCTGTGTGAGTAACAGGAACATATCCAATGTGTTATTGTTTTACTTTCTTGTTTCTGATCTGCATGTCTAAAGTGAAGGCTTCGCTATTTGAAGAGTACTAGGCCTCATCCTCACGATTTTAGAAATAATGTAGTATGGAAACCTAATATGTGCCCCACAATACCACTACCACTTTATTGGACATCATAAAATAACAAAAAATAGTTCAGAATTTTTATTACTACATATCTCTAGCCATCACATCAACCTTTTCTTCCACTTCATTGAATTCCATTCAACTATTACTCTTAAGATTAATGCCAAAGTTGACATGGGTCTTCATTGTATGAGGGACAGATCGTAGAACTAACGCATAGATAAAGGTACCACATAAGATTTGCCTAGTTGAAAATTCTGTTGCATGCAAAACAATTAGGAAGGGTAGGAAAATCCCTAAGCTTTTGCCCTTCCTCTCAGATGCCACGTCCAAGCCTAATTTACAAATAATCAAACTCTAAACACAATGTTCGAGGGAGAGGTAAATCTTCAAGAAATAACCCCACCCCCCGACTTCTTCGTTTTGATACATCATGTCTAGATTTATGATAAAATGATTTGCAATAAGAGGAATTCTAGGTGACATCTCCAAAAATCTAGGCAGCAAGGGAAAATCATGTACCAACTGGGAGAAAAAAATACATGGAATGCTGCATTGAAGCAGAATAAGGCAACCTTAAGTGCACAAGAGGCAGACATTTTAATAAAAAGCATAGTCAAGTAAGTTAACTCTATTTTCAGCAAAAAGAGCTCAACTTTGTTCATGGGAATGCTGAACAAATAAAGGGGACAGAGAACTGAGCAAACAGAAAGTGTGAAGAGGGAGAGGGGGGAATGTGTCATGGCCTCACAAATACTCTTTAACCACACATGCAGCTTATAGTTGCACCTCAACCGCCTTCGACAAACTACACCTCAGGTGAGCCACATTGTTCTCGTAGTGCCTAAGGTTGCTTGAGTCAATCATACACCTCACCATAATTTGTAGCTAGGCGCACCTAAGATGCGCTTTTTAAAACAACGATCACAAAGCTCATATTGTGTGATCAAAACTACAGTTCCAACCATTTCTAAAAGCAGGCCCAATATGCTCAACCACAAAGGTCACTCATTATATATGTATTATTGCTATTATATGAGCACATGAGAGCTAGAGTTATAGCAATTCTGATTAACAAACATAGCAATGCTATAAATAAATAAATATAATATAATTCCAAAGATATATTGGCTCTACCTTAAATGGAGAGCAATAAAATGCTTGCTCATGGCTCTCATCCTCTGTACCAAGAATTTGCCCATTTCTAGTATGGGACTAGTGAACTTCAAAGCATGGTAATTAACCCTGCATCTTAGCTTTTGAAGATCTGTCTCCAACCGATTTGCAAGCCTATAATCATATTTGGTAAGCCGAACAGCCTGTGTCATTAAAAAAGATGGACAAGAATTAATGTCAATGAGATAACTCCTCAAGTCATGTTAACATGAAGAAAATTGAATTTCAGCAACCACATAGCCAATGTTTCACTATTCTGATGGTCATAAGTTCAGAAAGTATACTTAGTTATAAGCTGGAAGTCAATTTACTGTGATAGTCAGAAGAAAAAAGATGAATAAATAACAAGCTTCTGATAAACTAACAAATTCAAGATAATAAATAAAAGAAATATATTGAAGACTTACATGCCTTTTCATTATAACAGGTAAAACTCGCTTTTCATAGCATCTTTCATTGCACTTCCTAGGAACTCGCATGGTTGTGACTTTTGGTCCGCTTGGGAGTTCTTTTACGATTTTCACATCATTTGATAGGAAGGATATGAACCAATCAATATCAAAGATGTCCTCAAAATTACTGCAAGCATACAACAATATCCAGCACTTCAGCATTAAATTTGTTTAGGCATGAAAAAATAGACATGCCAGAAGTTTGTTTAAAGAAGATTTATGGAAATCACTACAAAAACAAACCTAGCATCCTTCCAATAAGATCTCTGGTCCAACTTTGGCACAACGAGAGTGACATTTAAGATACGAGCTGCAGCAACTGCATCAATTATCTGGCAAAAGTTGCATGTATTAATTACCAGTAGCCCAAAGTCAGCACTTGCACTCTTGCAGTGTTATCCCAAACACAGAGCACTAATCCTAACAGCTAGCAGTATAATGACGAAGGGGGATCATAGTTTCTATAAAAATATTATGGAAGATGAAGAGTGATATACTCAAAACATATATATAACCAAACCCATTTGCAAACACAGAAGAGCTGAAATTTTATGTATGGATTAAGAGCAGAAAATCACTGATACTGAGTTACTGACATCAAAAGGTGATTGAGAATCCATGCATAGCAGTGATCCGTCCGCAATGCATTGACAATGTCGCAGAATTAAAGTACCCAACAACAGCACATATTGTAGTTCTTAAGTTTCTAAAGTCAGTAGGTCTGGTATTTGGAAATTTCCTAAACACCTATTAAGAAATACAACAGATGAAAAGACAAAGTCTTTAACATGCATCATCCATTCTACTATATACATGCTTTTTGATTGAGCAGGAATAATCTAACTCCGACTTATGTTTCACAAACTGGTCAAGAAAACAGGTTTCCAAAAAATAAAAACTATGCTTATGTAGTAAATGAACAGCACAGTAAATCAGTAATCATATAGTCAATAAAATCCTATCATTTATTAAAGCTAAAATTTAATCAAGCAGAGAAACACTTCAGAAAAGAGCAAAGATATCCGTGTTACATGTAACAGGCCAAACATCAGAGACCAGTAAACGATTTTGATGGACAGACTCACAAACTGGCACACAATTGAACCAAAGCAAATAAGATAACATACAAACAGAAAACGATATACAGACCACTCAATGCTTATATAACAAAGTAATGCAATATATACCCCGGTTCTTTGTTGGTTCAAGCCTCCACTTGTAGCAATCATCAAATAACGACTTGGACGTGTGATAGTATCAGCTTCTGAGAATGAGAATGAAACCACAGGTTCAAACAAATGACAATGAATCCATATGCAAATAGTATCAAGACTGTTACCATATAAGTTCAGTATACAAACAGCATATTTAGTTACTCCCCTAACCTCCCAAGACTACAACGACGAGTACATCTAAGGTTCAAACATGTTCAAACATCCTTGTAGATATTATTACCAAAACTAGTCACACATTAACTATCACACATAATTCTACAGCTATTTCAACTAATTCATTCAAAAATACAGTTCAACATATACCTATAATATGAAGAAGACGTCTAACAATCAAATATACGCGAGTAGCAAAGATATATTAGCAATTAACTTATTGCTGATTAATGAAAGGGAAAATTTCAATAGACATTGCAACATATTATTATACCAATACAAAATACTTCATACTGCAAATTATAGAAACTGAATTAATCAACAGCAAATATAAATAATCGAAATAACAAGCTAGGAAAAAGAGCACATACTCATAAATTTACTGCTGGCATTGCTACAACCATAGAAAAATTCAGAATCTCTAGACCTCCAAATATCATGTTTAGATTTTCCTCCAACATCCTACATTTCATAAAACAACAAAATAAAAAAATTAAAAAAATCAGATCCAAGCAACACTCAAAAATCACAAAATCGAATTCAAATAATCCAAAAATAATCAAAAGCCCTAACCGGAACAGAAGAGATCGAATCTCCGACGGAAGCATCATCATCCTTAGCAAAACACAAAAAAAACACAAATTAATCAAAAAATAAAATGCTGAAACTGCAGGTTGAAGCGACAGCGAGAGATTACCGAAGAAGACGAAGATGAGCTGCGAGTGCGGCCGTGGTGAAGGAGGCGAGAAGGACGAGGAGCGAGAAGAGAGAGAGCGAAGAAGCAGAGGAAGAAGACACCAACGATGGCGGTAACAACGGGAAGAAATCGGCGAGAAAGGCGGCTGATGCTGGTGTTGCTGTGGTGGAGATGGTGGTGGCGCCGCCGTTGATTCGCCATTGGCGCCAACAAAAAAGCTTCAACAACACTATTTTCTCTCTCCTCTCCTCTGCAACTTTCTCTCAGCGTTTCTCTCTCTAGAAAAGGAGGAAGAAGAAGAAGGTGGAGAGAGAAAGAGGAATGGGGAAAAATGGAGGAAGGTGAAGAGGAGAGAGAAAGCGATGCGATGCTTTATTTGGTGGGAATGGAAATGGCAGCTTCGATGACGACAATTTGATTCGTTCTTACCAATCACTGCACACACAAACACACTGCACTCTACTCTCTTCTTCTTACGATTTTTTATTTTTTTTTGTTGGGTGTTGTTGTGTTTGCCAATTTGCAATTTTTCTAATTCTGGTGCAACTTTGTAAGTACAACCCATTCTTCTTGCTTTTTTGGTGTTTTAATCTTTTACAAGACAGATAAGCTTGGATTTTTTTAGATGTAGGAGACCTAAATATAGAAATAATTTTGCTTTATATTTTTAAATGCTTTTCTCTTTCATTTTCATTGTACTTTGTATGCTATAACAAATAAATAAATTGATTTTAAAAAAAAAAATTGTAATACAAAGTTTGGATATCACAGTCAAGAGGTTGTGAGGTCAAACCCTACTAGATACACTTCGGGGGTTGGGATTTTGTAACCCTTCCTCCCCACTTGTTACTCCCTTGAAGTGACAACCTCCTTTTCATTCTAATAATAATAAAGGGAGGAAAATATAGTCCCTATATAATTTTACAAACCTAAATATACTTTATAGTGGCGGATCTTGGATAAAAAAGTACAAAAGCTAAGGTTTAAACCTTCAACCTGTAGTTAAAAGTATAACTAGTTAAGTAACTTAAGCTTTGTAAAAACAACTTTTTAGATTCATAATAATTAAGAAAATGGATTATGGTCTTATGGATAATACAAGAAATAACTCCTCAATTTTACAAAGTAATTATTTATTTGATTTACCACTTCAATGTTTTGGACATATAAATTTCATCACAAATTTTTGTATGTGGCTGGCCACACGGCCACAATTTTTTTATTTTTTTTAAATACCACAACTCTTCTCCCTCCTTTTTTTCTTAGCTTCTTCTCCAAACCAACTCACATATCACCAACAACCATATCTCTACTCCACCCATTTTCTCTCTCCTCTTTTCTTAGCTTCTTTTTCAAGCCAAACCACATCACCAACAACCATATCGCTACTTTATCCATTTTCTCTCTCCTCTTTGCCAAATTGGTACAATTAAAGCCCGAAATTGTAGAAATTTGGTGTCAAATTGTTGTGAAAAATTATGATTAATTATCCTTAAGATCATGAACAACATTTGAAGTAGTGAAATCGATGAGAACCAACAAGATTTGAGCTCCTTTTCTTCGTGGAATCTCATATCGAACATTCTACGTCAAAAATTGTAGGGTGTTACTAGTTTGGTCAGGAGTTACTTGTAGGGTGTTACGTTACTAGTTTGGTCAGGGGTTACATGTAGGGTGTTACTGGTTTGGTCAGGGGTTACTTGTAGGGTGTTACTGGTTTTGGTCAGGGGTTAGGTTACTTGTAGGGTGTTACTGGTTTGGTTAGGGGTTACTTGTAGGGTGTTACTGGTTTTGGTCAAGGGTTACTTGTAGGGTGTTACTGGTTTGGTCAGGGGTTACTTGTAGGGTGTTACTGGTTTTGGTCGGGGGTTACTTGTAGGGTGTTACTGGTTTTGGTCGGGGATTACTTGTAGGGTGTTACTGGTTTTGTCGGTGGTTACTTGTAGGATGTTACTGGTTTGGTATGGGGCCTACAAGCAACTCTGGAATAAGTAACAAGTAACCATTGAATAAGTAATTCATACAAGTAACCTTTGAAGTAACTCATAAAAGTAACCCTTGAATAAGTAAATCATACAAGTAACCTTTGAATTAACCCATACAAGTAACCCTTAAAAAAAAGTACCCTTGAAAAAAAAATATAAGTAACTCCTAAAAAAAAATACAAGTAACCCCTGAAAATGCAAGTAACCCTTGAATAACTAATCCATACAATTAACCCTAAAAAAAATACAATTAACCCCGACCTTGAAAAAAAAAACAAGTAACTCCTGAAAAAAAAACAAAAAAAAAAACAAGTAACCCCTAAAAAAATTACAAGTAACTCTTGAAAAAAAAATACAAGTAACTCCTGGAAAATACAAGTAACCCTGACAAAACCAGTAACCCCGTATGTGCGTGAACAGTAACCCCGTTTTACGCGCGTCAGAATATGTTATTTTTAATGAATTGGCAGCAAGCCACACGGTGTGGCCTGCTGCACCAAAAAAACTCTGAAATTTCATTATTCGAATTACCTACTCCCCTCCTTACCTTGAGTTCACATATTTTAGATTCATTAAATCGTCTAGATAAGTTCATATAAGATAATTTTACCTTATTTTTATTTTTATCAGGTCAAAAAAGTTAAGTAAGATTAAATAAGATAAGAATTAATAAATTTAGATAAGATAAAAGTTAATAGGTTCAAATAGGGTAAGATAAATCTAGGGTCAATAATTATGATAATACTACATGTTTGCCTTTTTTTTTTTTTTTTTTTTTTAAGAAACATGTCTGCCTTCTTTCAAATTAACATTTGGTTAATTTATTTTTTTTAACATTTACAATTTGCAAATAAGTTAGGAAATTAGATATAGAGTGTTGGTGTGAAGAATATAAGAAAAAGGTGGATAAAGTAAAAATAGTTTATTAAGCGGAGTAATACGGAGTACAAATTAGATGGAAGGTTATAAATATTGTGCAATAAGAGAGATAAAGTAGAAATATAACTTTGCCAAAAATAAAATAAAGTGAAAGTATTAAGAACTTTTAGAAATGGAGGTAGTATAATCAAAGCAAAATTTAAAGGATTATACTACGTTTTTAATCTCCCTCCTACCCTCAAATGCCTGGCATATTTGCTGACCTTAAATGCCTGATAAATGGCATACTCATATATTCTAGCACAATAAAAGCAAATTATGTATAAGTAGGACCAAAGATAATCGATTGACATGTCGAAAACATAAATTTCGGTTTCCAATCTTTAGATTGAAAATTAGGTAATTATACTTGGATATTTTGATCTGATACCCCCTATATAAGTTTAAATCATGCTGGCATCAACTATTGATGCAAATTACATCAAGAAAGTGCATATTGTTAATATGAAAGATAAACAAAAGTCAAGTGTAGACTATGGAGTCAAAATAAGAAAAATACTTTATTATTTTGAAGATAAACAAGGCTCTAAATAGGTGCAGCAAGGCCCTAACTGTATTTTGTTAATGCAATTGATGGACTTGTATAAGAGCTATTCTTCTATTTTGAAGTCATTTTCAGTCTAAAAATTATACTATAAACATTTGGGAAACAATAACTTAGATGATAAGCATTCAATTACTACAATATTATACTACGAGTACTATACTAGGAGTAAAAGTGGCCATACTTTTAGTGCTTTGCTTTGTACGAAAACAAATCATCTTTGTGCACGGACGTGAGGAAGAGGTGTCAGAATTGGATGCTTAAATAGTTGATACCCTTCTTTTCTCGGTAAGTGAACTAGTGAAGTGAAGAATTTATACGAGTACATAATTCATTATGCAAAACACATTCATTCTTGATTATCCAAGTAAATGACTGTCCATTCATTTTTATCGCACTTGGAAAAAAAATGTCATAATACGCATTGGTATTTCATTATCGTTTATATGTTATCATCATGATACCAACATCCTTATTCAGTGATACCAACGAATTGCAAAAATATTTTGTTGTTGGTATCATGTGAAATATCAACGTGTGTTATTAGAGTCATTCATGACTCTAATTATTAGAGGCTAAGAATTCCTCATCATCCGATCGATCTAATTCCGAATTATATCCAAATTGAATATGGTGTACCAATTTTATTATGTCTCTATTCTAGATAAAAAAAAATAATAATAAAGTGTATTACCCAATTCAACACGTAAAGAAATCATTGTGACAACAATAGGCTCAAAAAGTCTGTTACTTTTTGCAGGTTCGGGCATGAGATATAATGTTAAGGCTTAACACAGACTGATTTTTTTTTTTATCACCTCTACTCAAACCATCCCATCATACCGTGATTAATCAATGTTAATATGTTATATCAAATGAAGGTCTGTTCTCTTCAGCTTATTTTCAGTTCAGTTCCTAATTTCCTTCTCTTATAAAATATTTAGTTCAGTTCAGGTTCAGCTCAATCAACGAAAACAAGCCTCGTTGCTTGAAATATAATCTAAACCAAACCAATATAATTTGTTGGCATTGATGCTTGCTTGCTTCAATTCATTATTACCCTCCTTATTTAAACGAAAAGATAAATAATTTTAACTTTTACACTTTGAAGACGAAAAAATCCACTTGTCCCATTCGGAATAATGGTACTACATATTCCATTGCTCGTGATTTATATTTAAGCAGAGCAATGCTATCATTATTCTGAGCATAATTGAGAACCGTTAATAATACTTCCTACAAACTCAAGCAACTTCCTTTGCCAGCTGCAGCTATATCAGAAATTCCTTCTGTTAAACGCCGTCATCTCTCCAATAAAAAATGCATTGACAGTATATTTGTGACTTTTAGGGGCACCAAAACACAATTGTAAGAATACTGTTATGCTATAGACTCATAACCACACCCTTTAAAAGTGGGCCGTGTTGGCATAGTCCAACGCATATGCAAACACGAGCCCCTTGCCTAGGCTGCGGTTTTTTCAGTACAAACAGGAGGGGTCACCCACCAGCCTACTCAATAAGGCTTGTCAAAAGAATTGGAAAAAACTTTACCGTGACTCATGGGGCCAGTGTCTTGGCAGTGCAGAATAAAACCTGGACGGACCTGAAGTTGTTGGGGCCTATATCCTTTGGCATGGCAAGTACAGCACAACTGCCGCAGGCCATGTAGCCCAGAGGCCACAACCATGCCTACACTCAACTCCAAATAACCACGATGATATTCAATATTCATGTTATAGTGCGATAATACCCCAAAATGTAAAATGGGACTTACACTTTTAAGGCGTAATTCTGAAAATGTTGCCCTGCAAAATTTCTGTTATACCCTTGCACAAACATGATAGGCTTATGAACTTGTATCTAAAAGAAAGAGGGTGTGCTGAAAATCCATTTCTCATTGAATATCTCATCTTATAACCTATTCTCTATGGAATATAAACCTCTATTAAGCTAGAGCTGGACATAAATAAATCACGTCACTAGCAGCTTTAAAATGATGAATTCATAATAATGGAGAACATAAATAGACAATTCCTCAGCAGAACCTAAATGATTTCCCCTGGAGGTAGCTCAGCCAGCTTAGGTGGACTTCCGAGTGCTTTTTCCATATCAAAACGGACTTCAATATTGCGGAGACCATAGCCCACCACCATTAGCCAATATAATAGCTTGCCAAGTTCAGTCGCACTAGTCTCCGAAACAGAAGTCTGCAGTAAATATGCAAGGAAATCAGCAAACTCCGCTATATTAGCAACCAGGTAGTCAAAGTCATCCGTTAAAAATCATTAAACAAAAATTGAGAATTCCTAAGTTCGCATTTATGGTACATCAAGAGGGAAAAAAAACTCTTTTTTACTTTTTTGTCTGGTATGAGTGAGTGGTTCTCCAATGGTTTGCTATTTAGTTTGTAACGGACTCAGAGAAGAGATCATTTAAGGCCGGACAAAAACATAAAGCATTCTCAGAACCCAGCAGCTTCATAAAAGACAACCAAAGTGGAAAACTCAGATCCATGTCCTACTGTCCCCAATTAAAGCCAAATCAGATGCCCACTGAATACTGGACATGTTTAATTAAGAATCAAAACCAAATCCTTCCCTTAGACAGTCTACTACCATGAGAATACCAGAACTCTCTCAACTAAAAAGGTACATATGCTATGCAGTTAATGTCTTAATGTGGTGCTGGGTGATAATAGAAGTAAAAAAACAAAAAAAGATGAAATCTGAACAGCTCTACACCTTCATTTGAGCAGGATCTGAAACAGCCAACAGGCGCTTTATGAATGTGTTCATTGCCAGAATGACATCTTCTCCGGCAGTGCTTGTCAGCTCCTACACAAAGAACAATTATCCAATTGAGTTAGATCTCTACTGGAATAATCAAGTAAAACCTCAGTACACTGGAGAATATGAATTAGGCCAAATGCATACAAGAATTATGCAAGTTGTGTCATTTATTAAAGTAGTCCTCATTATTAGCAATTATGATGCTTAGACTTGGATATGGATGTCATTTTTTAGTATGGATCAGATGGCTAGTAGTTCTTGAAACTTTAAAAGCTCAGACTGGTCCTATAAAGTGCCTCCCGAGTGTGAGATGCAAAAAGGTGCCAGCACCATTGCCTCAAGCTTACACGATTACCTTGCATTCCCCCAATTCCCCCCACATCATTCTCTTATTCCTTCTCTCACATTTTTTTGGTGCTGCTGCTTAAATTATAAAAATGATCTCTCACAACAAGTGAATGCATTTTGGCCACCAAAACAAACAAACAAAAAGGGGGGGGGGGGGGGGACATATGTAGAACCAATTTCCCAAAAAGAGAGTGCAATGCATGAGTGTGCCTCAAGTTCAGAAACTCTTGTGCGTTACACTATATAAGAAACGTTAGAACCCCCATATATACCCTCAATTTAAAAAAAAAAGGGATGATTTATAAATAGAAATTAGCTTTAGCCTAACACAATACAAAATTTGGTGTGCATGCATCCATAGGCATATGTTACAAGCGATAATAAAATAAAAATAAAAAAATGATAAATAATAAAAAAAACAACACTTTAAAGTGATAAACAAAGCTTACAAGGTGACTATATTTTAGATAGTTGTAACAAGTAAATATAATAAAATAATGGTAAAATTTGATATTAATAATCCCAACTTTGAGTGTTGTTTACTTTCTTCAATTCCAATTACCGCTTACGGTTGATTTTTTTTTTTTTTTTTTTTTTTGAAATGACATGTTTCACAAGTTAACTGGTTAAAAAAACAACCCAGCCAAAACCCCAACCACCCTAAACAAATCTGACCACCCGCCAGCCAGCCTTCTCCCTCGCCGGACCACCCTCCCCCACCAGTGGCGTTGCCCCTCCGGCAGCTTCCATCTAAACCACCATCTCCTCCCCGAAACCCCCACGCAACCACCAATAAACCCCTCCACCACTTCGAAAACCTCTAATCACCACTCCCCTTACCCCGGCGGCTAGGATTTTCGACGGTGAGGAAGGGGCTTTGGGGCCTTTGGGGGTTTTCGGGAGTGAGGGAGGGGTTTCAAGGGAGTTTCAAATGGTGGGAGGGATTTAAAGGGATTTTCGATTGTGGAGGCGGAGAACCGGATCAGAAAAGGAGGAGATTTGGGGTGGGGGTGGGTCGCAACGCCGGACACCGGTGCGGGGGGATTGGGGAGAAATCAGCGCAGCTTTGGGGCAAGGGAAGGGAAGGGTAGGCCTTGTCAGCGACAGGTGGTGGTGGTGGTTAGGGTGGTCCAGTATGAGGGATAAGGGGTTTTCTGGTTTTCCTAATTTTTTTATTTATTTTTTTTTTTTTACCAACTACATCTTGACACGTGACACATAACTGGTTATAAAAGGTCATTGACTTTCCTTGACCAGTTTGGGATTGAAGAAAGTAAATACCCCCTAAAATAATCAAAAGTTGGGATTATTAAAAGAAAAATATCAACTTTTCCTAAAATAATCTCGTGTAATTATTTTTAAAAGCGATAAAACTCGGTGGCACAATTATGTCATAAAAACACGAGCAGCAGGAGAAGACTCTGACTATATTTTGTTTGTGCCCTAATTAAAAACAAGATTTTGGTCTTCCTCACCTTCAAATTCTGGGGTTCAAGAGACTTCATATATTCTAACAACTCATTTTGACCATTCGTAGATTTTCTAGCAACTTGACGATTCAATTCTTCTAGTTCAGCTTCAAGCAGCTCAATGTACTTCTCAGCATCTATTCTCTCAGGTCCCGAGACATTATTCCACCGAATAACTTCACCCGACACTTTTTTCTGCGTACCTGGAGCATAATCTGGAGCATCCTGAAAAATTGGCCTGATTTTAAGTTACAAACTCTGGCATAGGACCAGAAGAAACCCAAAAGAAACAATTTAAGTCGGAAGAATTAAAACATTACATAGAAAGGTGTTACCTTATTTTCTTGCGGTTCAGGAAGAGCCACCTGTTCTAAACTTTGTTGGAGTTCAATTCGGAACTGTGCATTCCTAAACATATAGCCAGTCATCATTACACTATACATAAGTTGAGCAAGATTTTCAGCCACCTGAAACAAGTGGTAGAAATCCTGATCAACAAAGTGCTACAACTTTTACTCATATGCAAATGTGATTGCCAAGACACATGGATATCGAGGCATAGATACAACCTGGTTAGGGAACAGGACTTACAGTAGTTACAGTTACAGAAAAAAATTGTGGAGGTAAACTGCCAATCATGTTTGTAACAGTTTGACGCATTGCCTCCACCACCTAAGGAGTGACAAGGAATACATTTACATTTGGAATTCATATATTAATTTCAGGGGGAAAAAAATTTGTTATAAAATGAGCAATTAATTCACAATAAAAAAGAAGATTATGATGTTGAAAACACAAACCTGTGGAGATGCCCTTTTAACAAACAATTCCATAATCTCTGGTTGCACATTTTTCACATACTCCAGCAGAATATCCTTCCTGTTTTTTGGCTGGTAATTTGAAAAGGTAAGATATCATTAAGAGAAGGTGTAACTACTCCACTAGACCTACAGTAATCTCTTTGTAAGTAGGAATAAGACATTGTGGAGATAATTGTTTTAAAAAATAGGGATTGATGAGGATTTCTAAATATGACTATAGACAAGCAATAAAAGCTAGAAACCGAGAAATAAAGCATGCAGAGTGTCATCAGAAGTCGATAATTTCTTCTAAATACATGGTTGAGGTGACTAGGTAAGAATTCTTATTTTCTCTTTAATGTGAAACCTGTAATCATCCTCCCAACCCCAACACAAACTAAATAAATAATATCATAAATAAACAAAATAAAGAAACCCTTCTAGTAATGCTCAATGTATAGTTTGGACAGATTTGAAAAGGATATCTAGAATTCTAGATATCTTGGCATCACAAAATCTAAATGTTACTAGAACAGTCAATTGTTAAATTTCACAATCTTATTCAATAGACTAATCAAATTTAATCATTGAACATCCAAATGCTCATTCTTCAACCTACCACAAAACACATTGGTCTTTTATCACAGAAAACCGCTTGCAGGATATAAAAAAAGAAAAACAAATTGTACAGTATCTCCTTCTGCTAAAGCATGCATCTGAAAAGTGTCAGTCAGAAGAAAGATAACAAAAAAAGACCTGTAAAATTTCTAAGACTAGATTACTCATGAAATCAGAACAAATACTTTCCTGTGCTAACAAGCAAAACTGCTTCAACTGACATCAATCACAAAATCATAGAGAGAATAAGCAAGCGATAAAGCACTTGAAGTAAACCCTGAAATCAATCTTCTCATTTTTAAGGCATTCTTATAAATTGACGTATGTATTACCCACGTTAGTAGCAATGTTTTCCCTTTTCTCTCTTAAACATTCTTGATCAAATCGAAAGCTCAACGCTTATAAAACTAGAATGAGCAACTTCAAACTTGGATTCCTGTAAGTCTATAAATGGAAAAGGCAAGGCAACCTACTTCCTCCATTCTTTGTATTATTTAATCTACAACTTTATGGCTCTCACACTCTACCTAGACCTAATTTCGTGTCGCGATAATAATAACTGGATTCCGGGCCTAAAATCATGCTCATGTGCAGCTCTCAAAGCAACTACAAGCTTGATCATATCGATAACTTTACTAAAGTTTTATCATCATCACCAAGAAGAGTTCAGATAACAATTCACAACTACACATTTCAGATTCCAGGGCATTAAAGTTCAATCTCGAAAACAAGCAATTCGACATAAAACCTCTCCATTAAAAACCGAAATTGCAATTAAGCAAGTAAGAATTCTATCAACAAGCAATTCTAAAATCATTCAAAAAGCAAAAACAATCGATAACAAGGAATATAATGATCAATTGGAGCATAAAAATAACATCATTTAACACAAAATCAAACAAAAATAGAGAAGAAATGATAGCGAAAAAGGAAGAGACCTGGGAATTGCCAATGTCAGTGTCATTGGTATTACTATCAGAAGATGAATTGTTCAAAGCACGAATTCCGAGAGATAATCGGCGTCGAGTGGTGAAATACCTCGGAAAACTGACTGAAGAAATGGAAACTCTTGAGTTGGTTGATAAAGCAAATAGCGAAGAGCGAGAACAATGAGTGTAGAGTGAGGTAGGCTTTAGTATGAGTGAAGAAGACATGGTGGTAGTTAAATTGGTTGACTGATTCAGTTTGAAAACCCTAATCTTAAACCTCCATTAAAGCCCTTTTTGTGTTACTGATATGACAGAGAAAGTGTATCTATGGAGTATGGAGTAGTACAAGGATAAAACAAAGGAAGGAGAGGATTTATGCTGCTACCCGTAATGTTTATAGCCAAACATATTACGGACTACGGACTTTCGGAATTAGCTGTTATATTACTCCTCATTTACTTGAAGTCGCACAAATTTTGCCTTTTAGGCTAACAACATTTGCATTTAGACGATTAAGTACTTTAAATTATAGGGACGTTAATTTTTATGAAAAGATAAGGAAACTAATATCATTTTTTTGTGTTTGGATTAAATTTTTTTTTTGGCGGAAGAAAGAGGCTATGTTATTTCTAATGGTTTCATAAATAATGCTCCATGTAGCTCCCTTATACACCATTCAACTCTAAAATTGACTCAAACTTGAACAGTCTTGGAAATCACTTCCGATCAAGGTCCATCCGTGATCCGATTTGGCTTAACTTTTGATTATTTAAGAGCTTCAATTTCAACGGTATAATTGCCGTTTGATTGCACAGATTAAAAGTTATGGTTGCCGGACATAACACCATTTTCTTGCTCCTTAAAGTCCACCATGTTCGCAAAAATGGGACTAGAACAATAGAACCTCCCACTTGCTCTTGAATTGATTGATAAAGTTGAAATACTATCCAATTGAGGCTATAAGTAGCCATGAAAATCAGTCACATTGTTCAAAATCATCCTCCCCAAGCTACTTTCTTCATCTTCCTTCCCCCTTCTCCTCATTTCCCCTTCCTTTCTCTTTAGCCGCGAGCATCGCGCACCACCATGACCACCACCACTCCAACCACCTTGTTGTTGCCCTCCTATTATTGACGCTGTTGCAGCACCCATATATATGTAGCACCAGTGCACCATCACCCTTTGTCCCTTGATTAATTATCATAGCTTCTTACATTTTGATACTACTAGTGTAGTTCTTAATTTTTGAGTCATAATAATACTACTACTATACACTACTACACAATATAGTACAATCAATCTACTACTGTTATGTTATTATTATTATCATTATTATTGTTGATGTATTCACTTCATCTACATACTACTAGTCTACTACTACTCTACGTACCACGAGTAGTGATAGACCACTACCAGGTACGGGGTCGTTGGGCCCATACCAGGGGCAAAAATTTAATTTCATGTATTACTTACTCATGTTGTAAAAATGCAGTATCTCTCTTCTCAATAACAATATATAAATTAATAATAACAGTATAAAAACCAAGAATAATAACACACAAATCAAGAATAATAGTATAGAAATTAATAATAATTGAGCACCGACAAAAAATTACCCGCGTCAATTTCGGCCGAACTTAGCGATTTCCAGCATAGAACTCACCGTTTTTGATGGCTAGAGCCATAAGTTTGTGTCTCTCGTTTTTGGGTTATGTTTTTTTGGGTGGTTTCCATTGATTTTAAATGAAGGTAGTTGCGTGTTTTTGGATTTCGACCAAGGTAGTAGCTGGTGGGGTGGGCTTCTTGCTATCGGAGGTGAAGGTGTGGTGGGCGAAGGTTTGGTCGGCAATGGGAGCTATCCATGGAGGTTGGGAAAAGGGTTTAAGGAAGGAAGAAGACGAAGAGGAAAAGGGGAAAAAAAAGGGAAAAGAAAAAAAAATGTGGTATTGGGTAGTATTACCCATACCATGATAGTGGGTAATACTTACTCACTACTACTCATATGTACTAGCTACTACTACACACTATTATTATTATTAATATTAATATTTTTTTTTTTTTGAAAGAAGTCCTAGTTAAAGGACGCTAAATTTCATTAATATAAGTCCTAATAAGTCCTAATTATTATTATTATTATTGATTAGTTTGAGGTGTTACACTTCTCTCTCCATATAGCTTGTTTGATCAACCCAACTCTCGCAAAAATAAAACTAATTTGGTCCACCGGAAGATTAAGCTCCGTATGGAAAGCTCTTTTGTTGCGCCATCTCCATGGCCAGTTAGCCACCAACATGTCACGACAAGTACCTAGGCCACTCCTCTCCTCTCTTATTGCATCACCACCTGCAATGGTACTCCAAAACTAGTCTTCTAAGGAAGAATTCAAGAAATTGGGGTCAGAATGCACTCCGAAAAGATGCATTCTCCGCATTGCATTTTCTCGAATAATTGAGATGTGCGCGTTATAACTAGCCATATCCAGGAAGTTCGTTTACTGTCAGTAGCGTTAATAAGGGAAAATATGTAAACAAACATTTTTAGGGGTATAAATGTCCACACACTATTACTTAAGAGTTTCCAAAAAAAAACAATTAACATTATAAGGGCAAATATGTAAATAAACATTTTAATTAAGGACATAATTGTCTAATATTATTCATAAAAGTATGACCATACTTTTTAAAGAGGTAAATACATAAATAAACATTTTTAAGGGCATAATCGACCATGATGGCTTTCCATTTTGGGCCTTTATTCTCAATTGGGCCACCAAGTCCAATAGTTTTAAGTCATGTCCAAATACCTTCAAATAGAAATATGGTTTATTACCCTAGAGCAAGGGTCATCAATTCTCTATATCATCTAAAAAAAATCTAAGATTTTAAAAACATCTGATCTATTATACACTGTAATACTTCCTCTATTCTTTTTTACTTGACCTGTTTCTTTTATCACGCTTGCCAATGCAAAACTTTAATGATCAACACTTAAATTCTCCATAAGTAAAAATTATAAAAGTTATATATTATGATAGTACTTATTGAGACAAATCCAAAAAGATCATACATGAATATATTTTTCCTTACATATGATTCACAAAAGAAGGTCAAAGGAGGGGTGGTGAATAGTATAAAAGTCAAAGCGGGTCAAGTAATAAAAAACGGAGGAAGTAGATCATAAAAGAAAAACAAGTCGAATTGAGGTTTGCTTGGAGGATGAAAATGTAGTTGTTTGAGTCTTGACAATGCCCTTTTTATAAAAAATTCCCAAAGAAATCTTACATATAATTGATACTCCCTCGTATTCACTTGTTAGTCTAATATCATATTTTGGACGTTTAAAAAAGATCTACCTATATGGTATATATTTCATTCTTAACTTATCCCCCCTATTTTACCCATATTTAATATATTCAAAGCTTGTAAATTTAAAGGCAGATTGATGTCAAAAGAATTCTGATTGGTATTAATTGATTGTGGATTGATGACATGACTCTAAGTAAGAAAATCCCTCATTTGAATTATGTAATTATGACTGATGCTTTCCCCAAAAAAATCAAAAAAATTCAAATGAGTCAAAACTAATTATGAACTGTTTTTTGTACTTTAATGTTAGATTCCAAATACTTCGTATTATTATTTTTTAGGAAAAAATGCGGAAAATAATACAACCTTTAGCCGATTCTTTTTTAATAATACAACCTTTCGATTAATTATTAATATTACAACCTTTGGGGGTGTTGAATTTTAACAGGCAAAAATCAGTTGGTAACTTGTTTTTACAGGTTACCATGTCATGTGTCGTTATTTTATTGGTTTTGTTAATTTAATTTGATTTTTAAAAATTTATTTAATATTTTTGATTTTTAAAATATATTAAATAATAAAATAACTTTTATAAAAAAAAAAAAAAAAAAAAATACACCACCCTTGCCACCACCTTCACCACGACACCACCATTCCTTCTCCCCCTCCCCTTCACGCAGCTAACCTCCTCCCCAGCCCAGAAACTGGACGGCCGGCGTCCAGCTCACCATGACCTCCCCTAACCCGTCGCGCCACCGACCTACCCCCTATTACCACGACCTCCTCTTACCCGTCGCGCCAACCATCCAAACGAAACCCTAACCCACGAAAATCGACCACCATCGCCTTGATTCCACCGCACTTCACCAAGCTCCACCATCAATCATCATCATTGAATCACCACCATTTATCCTCAACAGAAATCATCGAGCATCAAATCAAGGCCGCGATGTATGGATGCGTGCCCGCGAATAGTTCCAATCAAATTGGGGCTTAATTGAGGTTCTTTTATGCGGCTGCAATGGTGTTTTAGCAGCGATAGTTGAGAATTGTTGTTGGCTAGTTGCAATTAACGTGGTCGATGTTGGATGAGTGAGGGAGAAGATTTGGTGGCTGGTAGATGCAAGTTTGTGCGGTGGTGGAGCTGCTATGATGCAAGGGATAGGTGGTTTCAGGTTAGTAAGTGTTGGTGGTGATTGGTGGCGATTGGAGGCAGCAGTCGTGGTGGCTACTCTGCTTGTTGTTGTTGGCGTGGCGAAGATGATGGGAGTTGTTGTGGTGGTTGGCGAGGCGATTCATGGGATGATGATTAATGGTGCTTGGAGGTGGTGCCGATTGTGGTGGGTCTGGTGGCGGTGGTGGCAGTGAGGGAGTAGGGACGTGGGGTTGTGAGGGAGATGCGGGGGTGGTTCGGTACTACTGTTGTTGGTTGGGTGGTGATGGCAGGGGAGTGAAGAAAACAGGGGAGAGGTGGTGGTGGGTGAAATTTTTTTTAATTAATTTTTTTTTGAAAGATTTAATTAAAATTATTTTATAAAAAAAATTAAAAGTTAATTAAACAATTTTAATTAAAATTTAATTTTTTTAAAATTTTAAACTAATTACATGATGACATGTGTCATAGATAACCTGTCCAACAGGTTACAAGTTGTTTTGCCTGTTAAAATTCAACACCCCAAAGGTTGTAATATTAATAATTAATCGAAAGGTTGTGTTATTAAAAAAGAACCGGCCAAAGGTTGTATTATTTTCCGCAATTTTTCCATCATTTTACGTGATTGTTTCATATAGGGCTATCATTTGAAAACGAAGGGAGTACAAAATTTGGCGTGAGAAAATAATATTTGAGAAAATAGAAGGATAAAAGGAGTGCATCTAAGCGCATAATACCTATTTGTTAAGCTTGCATATAGGAGGACATCATGGGGTTTTTTATTATTTTTTTCATTTGATATATTTCTACATTTTGTGTACTATTATGCATGTATAATGTATTAATGTACCATTAAAGTATAAGTTGTTTCAATTGTATTTTTTGTGTACTATTATGTATGTAGTGATGCTTTTTGGCATCCTATAGGGTTGATTATTTTTTGTTAAATTACCTACCACGTGTC